TGAAACACATGCACAGATCTACACAGTGATATAAATGGATAGAGCCACACATACACACAGCTCAACAGACATGCACAGATACACACACTGACACGCATGCACAGATACACACACACAGATTCACACACATACACAGATCCACACACTGACAAACATGGAAAGATAAATAAAAAAAGTAAAAAGAATGAGTGACAACTGTATGTGAGGAGAGAGATTTTATTCCACATAAGTGGACCTGGAAACATTTTGACATGTTGAAAAGTCTTTGTCAAACTTGACAAAGATCTTTTAACAAGGTCGCAATGTTGCCATGACCACTTATGGTGATATATAATCTCATTCTTCACTTATTCTGCATTGCTAAACTGGCACCTAGTTCTCATCTATTTGGTGTGCCGGTTCCTCTTTTTTATATTTTTTATTTTTGTACTTATACAGACAAACACAAACAGATCAAACACTGGCAACATGCAAAGATGCACACACATTGACAAGCACACACTATTATAACTTATGGATAAGTGGGGAAGGCAGATATTCGCAAGCCCAGCACACCTCCACTCTGTGGAGTTAATGGAAGTGGAAGAAATCCTCCCTGACTGTCTAACTGACAGATAGGGAGGTGTTTTGCCCCAAGTTAGAAAAGTGATGATTTTTTACTGAAATCTGCACTTTTATAAACTGTCAAAATATGACAGACTACAGACACATATATCACTTCTGTTGAAGTGCTTTTTTTTTTGCAGATACAATGCACGTTTTATTTTTATATAGAGGAGTAGTTAGTAAGCTAGACTGGTCTACAGGTCTAGACTGTGCTTATCATACATTTGTACGTAAGGTTTTGCAATCTAGACTGATATTAGGTTAAAGCAAAAATGCTAATAGTTATACATGCTTGAATGTGAGCTATACAACGTGTGGGTGCAAATAGTGTTTAGTCGAATAACATCTATTGATGTCCCCCCTACGATCCCCTGGATGATCATAAACGAAATAATAAGTTCACTAGAGCATACATAAATCTTATGAGAGTGTTCATCTGAAGCATAGTAAGGTGAAAGATATAGGGCACTTTGCCTGGTATTAAGTCCCAGTCCTGGTTCAGCCAATGCCTAGCCGAAGTTGTGTGTATTCCCGCCGCTCTGTTTGTTGCAGCTTGCTCCGTCTCCAGGGTATGGGGAAGTGTGGAGCCCCTGTGCCGCGAGGCGGTGTGCTTGTCTGAGGATATGTACTCTGAGGTATGTTCAGAGCTGGGTTTGCCTGTCGGGGGCTGCTATACCTCTTCATTAGCCCTCCTGATGCGGTCGCTCTCTTGGGTCTCGCGTCCCTCCTGGGGTTCACATGGCGTTGCCGGGAGGCGGTCTTTGCTATGCCCGCCATGGATGGATGGTCGGGTTTGGTCACTGCCTTACCCCCCTGGATCACACGCATCTGGTTCCGTGGCGGGTCCTCGGGCAGTGCCCCTGGTAGTGGGGGCTGCATGCAGGCCTCTAGTTTCTCCCAGAAGGAGGCGAATATTTTGTTAAGCCTGCGTTCCGTGTCTGTCCATGTTTGGCTGAGCCAGGTGTCGTGGCAGGCATCTACCATTTTAGAGGTCTTTCTGGTGTTAGGGTTAGGGCCCTGTGTCGATGTATTGAGTCCCCTGCTCTGCTTGGGGTTCGCATGAGGGTGGACCGGTATAATCCCCGCCGGTCCGGGAACGTAGGTCCAGTCTTAGGGTCTCAGTTTGCCGTGGCTGCGGGAGAGCGGCCGTCTCCCCCATGCCCGCCATGCTTGTAAGCCGCAGAGTAGTTGAGAGTGGCCACAGCTCGGATTGTCGCTTGGATGGTATCATCCTATTCCTCTCAGTGTCAGCAAGAGCTGGGTGGCCTCTCTGTAGTGAGAAATCATCTTTTTGTTAGTGAAATTCAGCTTTTTCTCTGGCAGTCAGCAGGAGCTGCAGAGGTTTGCTTCGTCTCAGCTCTGCGGCCAGGCCCCGCCCCCCTGAAGTGCTTCTTATGTCTGGAGAGTTCTTTTATACAATTCAGATATCTGTGGGTTATCAAACCTTCTCTTTAAATGCTTCCTCACAAATTATATAAAGGGGCATTCCATTGCTCAAATGTAAATAAATAAAATATATGTTTAGAAGATTATACCCCAATTAAAATATGCATGGATTTAAATGTTCTTTTTTCCATTCATGTATGTGTAAAAACAGCTTGCAAAAACTGCAGATCTTTTGTCTGAAGTCTTTGCAAACCCTCCCCTTTTAAACCCAGCCAAGACTTTATTTGTCTGTCCAATCACAGCCTTGCTAATGCAGCTCAATAAGAAGTATTTTCAAGGCAGAGCAATTGCCTCTTTAGTTAAGCTTCACTCAGCTAAATAATCAGGAAGTAACAGGACTAGTTCTCTGATTGACAGGCTGGAGGTGGTGTAACAAGGTTTGTTTTTAAAAAAGTGCCAATTTCTATTGAAATCTGTAATATAAAAAAGTGAAGTGCTTTAGGAGTTTGGAGTGGTGGGTTAATTTACTAAATAAGGAATTGTGATGAATTTACAATGTAGGCTTAAATCATACCATTTCAAATCTATCTTTATGATATAGATCTATATGAAACAACTAAGACACTCGCATGGACCAATCTAATTAATAAAACATCACTTTTTAGCTCAGGTTTAATAAAAACAAAACATATAAACAAAACTAACAAGCAAAATGAAGCTTGAAAAGACATTATGATCACAAGGTACCATATATACCACACATTTACCATATTTTAGGCTTACCAGGCTTTAAAGGGTTACTCCAAGCACCATGACCACTTCAGTGATATGAAGCAGGCATGGTGCTGGGGGTCTGTATGTTCAGCATTTTGCTCTGAAACACTGCACATACTGAGTTTAACCCACTGGCTGCTGAGTGTGGAACCCCACCTCCAGTAGTGTCATGAGGCATCATCAGCCAACCTCGAACAAGAGATCTGGTGCTGGCTAATGCCAGTTGTGGGCAAATTTCATTGTCCAGACATTCATTCATTGGCTGACATTCGTCAACTGACACTCTCAGTCAATGAATAAGCGTCAGGATGTACAACCAACTTCTGCAGCTCTACTGAAGCCAGACATCACATAGTTACTTAATTACATAGACTGAAAAGACACTTGCATACATCAAGGTCAGCTTTTCTCACATTTGTTTTTGCTGATGATCCAAAAGAAGGCAAAAAACCCAGTTTGAATCACTCTCCAAGTCATAAACCTGCCTACAGAGGAGACATAGTGGGACACATGGGGGAAACAATTGTGGAATGGTGACAGGGTAATCTTACCATCATAACTACTACTGTTGGCTGTAGTGGTTATGACAGTTGACATAAGCCTTAAAATGACACTATAGTCACCAGAACAACTACAGCTTAATGTATTTGTTCTGGTGAGTATAATAGCTCCCTTCAGGCATTTTCATGCAAATACTGACTTTTCAGAGACAAAGCAGTGTTTACATTGACCCTAGGGACACCTCCAAGTGGCCAATCCTCAGATGGCCACTGGAGGGGCTTCTTTGTCAGGGCTGCACAGTAAGCAGCCCTTCAGTTCAGTGTCCCCACGCTCTGCATGGAGACAATGAATTTTCCTCATAGAGATGCGTTGATTCAATGTATTTCTATGAGGGGGTCCTGATTGGCCAAAATTGCATTTGGCCCCGCCCCGTGGTGATTTGATGATGTCACAAGGGGGCAGAGCCAGCACCGGCAGAGTCTTAAACTTTTAAAGGGGGGCTAAGCCACCGAAATGGTGGGTTAAACACTATAGGGTCAGGAATACATGTTTGTGTTCCTGACCCTATAGTGATCCTTCAAACATTGACCTTGACAATCAGAGGTAGAATTGAAGAATTTCAGTGTCCAATAACAGTTTTTGTTTGTTTGGTTGGTTGTGTATGCGTTTGTTTTTTTACTTAGAGTGCCAGCTTAATCTGGTTTAATGTCAATAGGTAACGGTTGTTCCGTAGCTATACTAGTTTACTGCAAATTGCAAAATATACAAAGTATTTGGGATTCAGCTATGCATCTATAAAAGGATAAAATAAACCATATATATTGAAGTACAGTCATATATAATTTAATTTGTGTTCTGGAAATGCACTCACAGAGTATATAGAAGTTTGGCACCTTGGGGTAGCATACACATTGTATGCTTTTTTGGTTTGTTTTTCAATGTCTATTGCTTTTTGTTGGCTGCTAATAAGCTTATTAAAAAAAGGCCATATGAATCTAATCTCATTCTAAGTCATATGGCAAAGGCTTACCTTGGGCCAATAAGTCATTAAATGTTTGGGGTTTGGTTTTTATAATTTATAATAGAATCCTTTTTGGATCAGTTCTCATTTATGCAGGTGTTACTTTGAAGATTTATTATATTTAAGGTATGAAGCAACATTCCATTTGGTTTACGCTTGCTAATGAAGACATGTTTCTACTGAAATGAAATACTTTGGGAATACTATCTTAGGCTCTCTGTGAGTTTCCTTCTACTCGTACTATTGCCATTGTTATTCAGTACTGTACCGTTAAATAAATGAATGTGGTATGATATAACAGCAATTACATATGTAAGAGCAGAAGTGAATATGTGAAAGAAATGGGGTGTTACATGGCATAACTTAGAATTTTAAAGTAGTTATAGGTGATGAGAATAAGGGAAACAAACAAAGCTTCTTGTAGAAAACGAAACTAAGTCATCTGGAAAGAAAGTGTTCCTTTATTCATTCCAACCACATTAAAACGCAAGTAAACTAGCCTTTTGAAAATCAGGCCATGAAAGCTGACATTTCCATCTGAGTTCTTAAAATCATAATCATTAATAAATCAACAAGCTGAGAGCTACGCTGTGGGAGGGGGACCAGGGTTAGACAGCTTGGCGGCTATTCAAATATATATTCAGGATGCATAATGCAATTTTAACCTCTACATTCCCCATTAAAATTGGGAAGTGTTTCATTTCTTAATCTCCTACATGATTGAACCCACCTCTGCCACCTGTTTAAAAAAAATTAAAAAAGTCTGCAACTGATATATCTACTTTTAGAAGGATGAGATCTAATAAAATTACACTGTTAATATTTCCTTTTCAGGGCTATGCTAAAACCATTTTAAGATATGACTATTCTTTTACCATTAATAGAATTACACAAACACATTCCTTCTTTATACTGTAACTATTAGAACAGGACTTTCAAACGTACCATGCTAGTATCTCTTGTTTTATCAAGTTGAGCATTTATATTCAACTTTTTTAATGTATTTAGTGCTGTGGAATTTGTTGCCAATATATAGATACATGCTAATGATAGTATTAAAATAAGTAACATTAAACCTCACCTGTCATTATCCTTAGTAACCTACGGGAGACTCCATCCTAACTATGTACCAACTATCTACTACGTGATGTAGAGAATCAACATCTACATGGCAATTGAATTACATATGTCGATATACATTCTGGTATATAAAGACATATTGTTGTTATAATGTTAACATTGTTTGCATACAAGTAAAATACTTTCAAGATTGTGCACCTTTAAAACTTTAAAACTATGTTGCTCTGTATGCCTTTAAAACGTGTCAGGCTAATTTTAGAGTCCATAAAATTGATCTATATAAGTGTTAATCCAAGCACCATAACTACTTCAGTGATTTGAAATGGTCATGGTGTGTGGAGTTTGTATGTGCAGTGCTTTGCTTTAAAATGCTGCACATATAGAGTTTAACCCAGGCTTCCCCAAACTCCCGTCCTCCAGATGTTGTTAATCTACAGCTCCTATGATTCTATGAATGAAATAGGTAGGCTGAGAATCATGGGAGTTGTACTTCAGCAACATCTGGTGGGCGGGAGTTTGGGAGAGCCTGGTTTAACCCCTCAGCTGGTGTAGCTCTACCTCCGGCATCGGTGGGTCGCCATCATGTACCACATGACAGACGCACAGTCAGATTTACCAGCATATGCGTTAACTTTACCCTGAACCTCATTAAGACATGGACACAGGTTATTCTGTTGGAAATATTAGTCGACAGTTTTATTAATTTTTAATTAATTAATTAAGGATAACAAATAGGGTCATTGCCAACAAATATTATTAAAGCCAACTTCCCCCCATACACATAATATACCCCTGGCAATGACCCCACAATAATAACAATAGATAACAATCTAATTAACATATTAACTCAGAAACTGGCTGTCCAATATGACCACATTTCCGCCAGATTAAATTGTAGGGGTGTACAAAGACACCGCTACACCCACAAGTTCAATTGTAGGGGTGTACCAAGACACCGCTACACCCCCAGGTTCGAAACCACTGACTCGAACCTACCAACCAAAACATCAGGATGCCCACTTCCTCCTCCATCTACCCCCTGATTTAACCTGGCCATTCCCTGCCACAGCTCAGGACTTGACACCTAAAGCTCCTGAGCTCCTCCTGAAGGCCCAACATAAATAGGTCAAACCCCACATCCAAAAGATGTACACCATCCCTCCTGAAGTACCCAGGAAGCATGCCTTCCAATTCCCCGTGCCTCACTGCCATTCCACCTATATGCCTAATTAAGACCGCCATCATTTTATTGATTTGTCCTCGACACCGAACCATCGAGGCCAGGTCCTTGGCATCTCAGACCACACCACCACCACACCTGGAGCCAGCTCCAGTAGCCGGTCCACATCCCTCTTCGTCCATCTGACTAATTCCTTTTTTGGGATCATGCCCAGATCATTACCTGTAGCGTGGATTAACAGTACATCTGGAATGGTGCCCCTTGCCACCCTCCGGAAAAGTTCCTCACTAATGCCTTGCCAACCAAAACCCTGAAAACCAAACCATTCCAGTATCACCAACTCCAGAGCAGAACCCATCTGCACTCCTTGTTTCTGAACTGCGGCTCTCTTCTGCGCCCAGTAGATGTAAAAGTGGCCCACCAACCAGGCCACCCAACCTAAAATGAAAACTGAATCAGTGACAAGGCATAACACAAAACACCACCCCACCAATCTATGCCCATTAAACCAAGTGTTCAGGCCGTAAGTAAGACCGTACCGACTCCCATCTACCTATACGTTTCACCAGTTCCTCACCTAGACCCAAGCAGGATGCCTCCATCGCTGCCCCTATCTGGAATGAATGGGTCCCATTCCAAACCCAGCTCTGTCAAGCCCATCTGAAGAACCCGAAAGAATTGGAACCGCGACAGAGCGGATCCATCTCCATGTACCAAAATACTACCCAGGACGTCCGAGCGAATCTCCATGTAGTGTGATGCACATAAAACCGGGAAGACACCTGACCCAGGCAAGCAAAATAGTGTTACTAAACAACCTTTACCAAATACATCCGTCTTTGTATGGCCGAACCGAATCACCACCTTATCGGTTCGTAATTCGATGTCCGAGTGTTGAAAACCCCAACACCCGCCCGAGAGGTACTCACCAGTTCACCAATCCGAAAGGCCCCGAAGAGTGCTCATGAGAAGGCAACTGAGAATAACCCCACCTCAAAAGGAGATGAACACACCGCTGGCAGCACTCCCACTAAGCGCTGCAGGACTTCAAAAGATCCCTGTAACGGACCGTTTTGCACACAAGGGGTAAAAACCGTTTAGGCGATCGGCCCCCTTTCCAGAGATCCAGGCACAGCTACTGCAGAACACCAAAACTCACGAACTGGATACAAAATAGCACTCCAACTCCCGAACTGGAACCTCCCAAATAGCTGCTAGCAGACGAACAGGAAAAGCAGACGAACAGCTTACACTCCCGGCATATCACACTGCCGCTGGGGAATGGAGACTGGGCTCCCAATTCCCTGCATATCACACTGCCGCTGGGGAGAGGAGACTGGGCTCTCTCTGTCCTGCAACTGTAGCTGCCGGTGGAGGTCCACCCACCGTGGCAGCTGACCGTCACCCTCTGCCCGGTACAGCAGAGTCTTGAATACTAGACTCCTCACGAACTTCACGGATTTCTCAGCTGGATTAGGTCCGTAGAAGTTCAGCCGCAACCACATCATGCGGTCAAATTCCTGTACAGAGTATCTGTACTCCACTGCTGGTTCCATTCTGTTGCTGTCAGGGTCGCTGTACTGAGACATGCGTTGCCCTCAAATTGTAAAATCCATGGAATGGTGTCTCCTGTAGCTGTCCTTCTGGCTGTAGGAACGATCCCGCCGCTTGCCACCAATTGTAACGGACCGTTTTGCACACAAGGGGTAAAAACCGTTTAGGCGATCGCCCCCCTTTCCAGAGATACAGGCACAGCTACTGCAGAACACCAAACTCCCAAACTGGATACAAAATAGCACTCCAACTCCCGAACTGGAACCTCCCAAATAGCTGCTAGCAGACGAACAGGAAAAGCAGACAATCAGCTTACACTCCTGGCAATCAGTCTCTAACAGCATACAGTGAATCCCCCCAAGAGCGAGACAAGGCTCCGTGTTGAGGGTCAAGCAGTGGTCTGAGGTGCTGGCACACCCAGCCTGGTTTTTATTACAGTCTTGCAAATACAGGACCGCCCACAGGGAGGTATAAAACAACCAATCACATCACAGTTACATCCCACATATTCCCTCCCCTTATCCTGAGAGGAAACTCAATTACACATACAGTTAAAACATACTTTCTACCCAACTTTCATAACTCTAAAACCATACATCACATTCACATAAAATTACATATTCACAATCAATCCATTCAGGGGAACAACATATTAAAAATGGCATGAATCAGACAAGGGGTTCAAAAGTTAGTAAAAAGTCCTTTGTGACTAAATGAAGCATGGCTTTCTGGCCCAAACCAGTTTCAGAGTCTTCTATCCTGGAGAGTAATTCAATTATCTCCCAGGACAGACACAAGACTCCATTAAGCACATGGTTGCAAAAAGACACAAAGACAGTAAAACACTTTAAAATACATAAAGTTACATTTTACACATAACACACAGACATTTCACATATCCCCAGATAGCTCAGGTCTGAGCGCACATTATTAAGTGAATGGCGCTCGGACCACACAAATACAGTTTAATCGCCATGGAGCAAAAGTCTTTACAGTCAGTTTCATACGAATGGGCTCCATGGGATTCCTATCTGGGGTATAACACATTCAAACAAATCTACTGAAACCCAGGCAGAAAAGCACGAATACAGCTTTTCTGCAGGCAAAAATAAAGTCTTTTAAAAGGGGGCCATAGTCCAAAGGCAGCAGGCGAGCAACCAGGCTTCTCCAGTGCAATGTGGCGAGATTGGTCTCGTCACAATCCCGACCGGTCTTCTAGCATCCACCGATTTCTTACATCTCCTAAAGCCCCGTAATGCTTGACGAATGAGAAAATGTTTTGTAACGTCCTCTCAACCATTCAACTTGAACAGGAACACCAATGCCGCCATATTTCTGTCGATTACAGACGGAGACAAACGCTGTGGTAAGAAACGGCAAAGGAACCACAGAACAGTATCCAACCATCCCTCCTTTAACTGGGACACCCCTGTGTGACCTACCGCCTCGTCCCATGCATCCCAAACCTTTACATAAGCAGCCCACGTGCCAAGCGCCAAAGAATTCCTTGTGAATTCTCAAAGCATGACATCCCAAGCCACCACATTTCCTCCGGACAGGCCTGTCCTTCCTTTCGGGCCCCCAGAGCCACCAGCCGAAACCGTTCCCACTGTGAACGAGACAAGGAATCAGCCACCACGTTTAACAAACCAAGCATGTCACATGCCCGAAAAACAATATTAAAAGACATGCAAAACCACACAAATTGCCGTAATAAGCGTACAACCAGGACCGAAGATGCAGATAAGCACATGACCACATGAACCACCACCATAAAAAAAAAATAACACCTTTCCTGTCCCGCAGCACCTCCCCCCAAAACGCCAAAGCTATCACCAATGGGAACAACTCAAGAAACCCCAAATTACGGATAAGAGGACTTGCTTTCCAGGCCTCAGACCACTGAGCAGCACACCACATGCCCGACAAATATGCCCCAAAACCTATGCTCCCCGAAGAATCTGTGAACAACATAACACAATTCCCAGACCCACTAATACAACTTCATGGTCCCATGACCCTGACAATGTGACGTGGAGACCAGACCCCACAAGTTGCCCTTGCCAGAAAACAGCTAAAAACTCTCCCCATGCAAATTACCCTACACGCAAAATTCTCTCAAAGTATCTGGACCCTCTAACACACAACACGAGCTCCCGAAGTGCAATCACCTTATCCCTAGGCAGCCGACATTCCCCTGCCACCGAATCAATCTCCAAGCCAAGAAAACAGACAGGTGGTAGGGCCCACCGTCTTGTCGGCTGCCAGGGATACCCCAAATGAATTAGCCACCCACTCCAAAGACCGCAAGGTATGGCCACAACGGTCCGACCTGGCAGTGCCCACACACAAGAAGTCATCGAGATCGTGCACTAAAGAACCCCCACCCAATTCCTCGTGCACCACCAGCTCCAAAAAGGAACTAAACGTTTCGAAGTAGGAACAAGCAAGCAAAGGTCCACAAAATAAGCCCCACATGCTACCTAACAGATGGTGATAATCCGGATGAATCAGCAGTAATTGAAAACCCGTCTCCACGTCAGCCTTCGTCATCAATGCCCCGTGTCCTGCCTTCTGAACCAACTCAACCGCCTGGTCAAATGATGCGTAGGAGACAGAATACAGGGTCGCATCAGTGTCATCATTCACCTAAGAACCTTTCGTATATGTCAAATGATGGATCAGGAGGAACTTACCCAGTTCTTTCTTAGGCACCATGCCCAAAGGTAAAATCCCTAAATCCACCAACAGAGGTTGTGAGAACGGCCCTGCTCAACCGCTTTAGCCAATTTATCTCGAACCATCTCTGGATGCTCCGCGACCGACTTCAAGTTGTCACACAATCGACCCAAAACTTTTAAAAGAATACCAAACCCTTTTGAAAACCCATACAACAATAACTGTGCATCACCCTGGTTACGATTAGCCAAGGCAACATTGCGCCGACCTTCACCAGAGTTGTCCCCAGTGGAAGTCGATGACGCCAGATGCAGACTTTCCCCACTTGAAGCACCTGTTGAGGCCGTGGGCCCCCCCCCCGCAGCCCGAACATTCGTGCTTAAACTTACACGAGTCACCCCACTTTCATTGTCCTTCATTAAACGTCCAACAGAACCCATTCTTTTGACTGGCCGATGAAGAGGAGGTTGATCCCACGCCGGCTCCACCCTGAAAGGGTGCAGCTTTCTGAGCCATCATCACAAACACTAGCCAAAATGCAGAATGCCTGAAGCAAATTCCCCAAATAGTTAGGTATCTTCCGATACCTCCGTCTCTCTTCCTCCTCCTCTTTCTTGACATTCTTTGTATATTCCTCCTTCAGATCAAAATATTCATCCAAAGGATCTCGAGGAATTTGGCCCGCCAAATCTTTTCCTTCACTTCCGATATTAGATAACAACCCAAACGCCCAGCGAATGACACGTGTACATTCTGTTTGGCTACCTCAGGAATCTCACCTGTCAACTCTGCACACTCGCTGACCACCGCTGACATCCCTGACCCAAGTAAAGTCACCGAAGTCCTGCCCTGAACACTTCCTGCCACAGCCACTGGAACCGTAGTAGCCACCCCACTCCCGCCTGTCGGTGGACCCCACACCAAACTAAAACGTGCCTCCCGTGTATCCCCGACAGCCCAAGTGTTAAGAAAGGACCTCAAGCTATCCAAGAGTTTCCCAGAGTGTAGTGCAGTAGAACACTCACCACCAGAACCCCTTGCTGTAAAAGTCCATCCATCTACCTTGAGAGGCTCAGGAGTAGCATCATAGCTTCTGTATCCAGCTGTCTGGTCCTGCCTCAGAACCATAGGAGAAGGAGTTGCTAACCTGCGGAAGGTAGACAATTTGGGTAGTCTGCTGACCTGACCACATTCCCTGTCCTCACAACATCTGGCCGTCTGGCCAGATTGGCCATACAGGGTAAGCCTACCCTTCTGATAACTCCTGTTAGGCGACCTGTAGGCCCTGCACCGGCTCCTCGCCCTATCCTCGGAAGAAGTTAAGCGCCCCCTGCTGTAATGCCTAACAGAAGGGCTCCTGTCTCTGCTGCGCTGACCTGCTGTGGACAGTCTATCCTTGCTGTGCATGGTCCTATCCTTGGAATGATCCTGAGAAGTAGCCTGGTCTGGGACATCTGGTGACCTGCTATCCCTCATCCTAGAGCGGCGCTCCCTGCACTCTCGGACAGCATGACTCCTCCAATCCGACCTATCCATCTGCCTGGCATCATGTACCCGTGCGCACTCACTCCCACCTGTCTCTGCTCTGCCTCAGGCACCTTTCGGGCCACATGCCTATCTTGTCTTTTAGGCCTGCCTGGCACCTCCCTGGCTGTAGTACTGCTATGTCCTAACCCTGCCTGGCTGCCTGAACCAGCCGTCACCCGTGCTGACTAAGCCCCAACTGAGATATTGGCCTCCACCACAGCTGACCTGGTCCCAGTCGGGGTTGTACTAGACTCCTTCCTGCTGCCTGGACATCCCACGCCCTGTTCCCCTCTGTGCCCCTGGGCACCCATGTCCTGCCTAACTCTTCCCAAGGATACAAGGCCCATCAGGCTCAACTCACTGAGAGCGGCAGGGGTGTCACCAGCGTTGGTAGCAGACCACTCCCCGCCACACCGGAGCCCACCATTCTCAGCACCCAACCTTTCCTGACAGCCACCAACTGACGGGGCACAGCCTGACCTGGGAGACGTAGGCAAGCAGCCTCCCGTCCCCAACCCGATCCACCAATGCCACCTGGAATAGACCGCCTGCCAGGGGCATCCACGGTCGACACCTCAGGCCCAACCCTCTAACTGCCGACCGCCGCCTCGACCACACAGTCTGCTCCGGAACCGTCTGCCTCAGGAGCAGCTCCTGGAGATGGGCTCCTCCTCTGTGCCGACGGCCCACCAGAAGGCCCGGGGGATACCATCCGCTCCTGCAGTGAAGCGATGCCACACTCCCTCACCACCACACGAACACCTGCAAGGAATTCTTTGACAGGATCCATCTGAAAAAGAAAGAAAAAACTTACCTAAACCTGAGAGACAACTAACAGGTAAGTTTAGGTTTAGTTAAGATTGCCACTTCACAAAATGGCCGGTATAAATACTCCCATCGTAGCTCCTCAAGGCAAATTGTTAGTGTGGGACTCATCTAAGATAATTTGCCTTGACGTGGCAGAAGAGCTTACACTTTAATTACCATTGGAGTTACTCTAAAAAAACAGCAATTATTTAAATTTGCATAGGGATTTGGGATAATGCACAGGTAACTTTTTTTGCTTTTATTCTATATATTTGTGCAAAGAGATGTTTTAAACCTGCTAGTCAGCATCACTGGCACCAGTGAGAATGGTGGGCACATCTGAAATAGGGGTTTTCACACCCAATGTCAGCTTGTGGTAAATGCACGCCAGGCTGACATGCCAATCATGCTGGCCGCTGTTACAGAGATCTCTACATGGTCCTAATGCCCTTAATGTATTGCAATTGTGTCTAATGATGCACTTACTTCATACTTTCTGGGATAGTTCCCTTGTGTCCCCCAAAGTGGGGCAATTTGGAACAAACCTAAGACAGTATGACACAAACCTGAAATAGGGAATGACATTGGGACTGTTGAAAGGCCTGCCCTATAAGTTAATGGCACATCATAAATTAACATAATAAATTAGTAACATCATAAATTAACTTTAAAGGGACATTCCATTGTACAAACACCCCAAAAATCCCTCTTTAGTAGATATAAAAACTATGAAATCATATGTGCATTTTATGATGCATATTTTCACTGGGGGTATATCTAAAAACAACTTAGGAAAGCTTCAGATCTTTTTGCAAGTTCTCCCCTTCTTTCCCAGCCCAGACTTTTTGTGACTATCAATTACAGAATTCCCAATGAAATTGGGCTGGGGCTCTGGTCAATTGCTTGGCTTTTGTGTTTAGCTCCACTACCAGGAAGTAACAAGACTGGTTTTCTGATTGACAGCCAGGAGGTGTAAGCAAGGTTCATTTATAAAAGTCTCTGATAAAATGCTGGTAGGCATGAAACACATCACTGTTGGTTCTTTTGCTAGCTATGTCTGTCTGTCCTAGCTATATGTCCTTTTCATTTTAATAAAGATAGTTTATCTTGATCTTTGGATTGAAACATGGAGAAGATTTGGAAGTTCAGCTTTTATTTTAGCCATTTTTTTTCAAAGTGCCAATTTCTATCTATTTAAATATGCACAATTTTCACACATAAAACACCTCAGCAAACTTAAGTGTTTTGGAGGTCTGGGGTGCCCTTTAAGATGGGTTAGTTCAGAGTAATGAACTCATAAAAAGCAAAATACTATTCCCACTGGGGTGCCCCAGGAAGGGAAGGTGAACTCCCAAGCCACACATGTATACACGTAAAACCTAGGCACACCCAACCGTTTCCGATGTCGCTGTCAATGTGGAGTGTCTGTGAGCAAATAGACCCTCTCTCAAATTCAGTGACGTCTCTAGGATTAATTTTTAGGGGGGCACATGGTGGGCCAGGGACAAAAGTAGGGGGGCACATTTAACCCCGCCCTTGACGCAGTTTGACCCCACCTCTGTCGCATGTTAATCCCCGACCACGACACAATGTGTTGTTGTTTTTTTTTTAATAATCTCTGGTGGAGGATTCATTATTTTCTACCACGGATTATTAAAAAACAAACACATTTCCCTTGATACAGTGCCATAGTTGCCAACATTTGAAAGAAAATTCCAAGGGCATTTTGCAGCACAGCTATCAATTACTGTCTGTGTATAATATCCCTGGACAGTCAGTGTATAATACAGGGTTGTGTGTATAATAAATTGGGACAGTCAGCAGTCCCTGTACAGTGCTGCTCTCTGTATAATACATGGCTGTGTGTATAATAAATTGGGACACTCAGTGCTCCCTGTATAGTGCT